TCAAGCGGTTCCTCTCTTCGGGTTCCAAGTCTCGGCGGATGTGAACCCTGGTGTCTTTAAGCCTGGAGAGACGAGACAAAATGAGTTGTGGCGTGTTGTGGTCAGCAAAGGTGAATCTTAAAGGTCGACATGATTGGTTAGTATGCTGACCAAGTCGGACTACTTGTTTAATCGTTACGCTGCCTTCACCCACATCCAACAGTTTATCAACGAGCCCCTGAAGGGACTCAACATCGTGATTATAACGTTTCTGAGGGTTTTCATCTTTCGACTCTGGTGCATGGAACACCATGAGATTATAACGCCTCAGTGAGATCGGTGACGAATTTGAGGCAGCAGGAGTGGAGAGGCTTGTCGTTTTGAACGGTCGTCTATCGGTAGGGGGAGGCTGAAAGTTATTGCGTGAACATTCGCGTTTTTGAATGATCTATTTATCTTCAGTGTTCTGAGGTTCACAGGTATGCGCTGAAAGATTAGGAGGCTCCGACTCTGAGTTGTCAATCTGTGGGGAACATTGGTTGTGAGAATCGGTAGGAGTAGAAGACGCTGGCGGTGGTGCAGATCGTGGTTGCAGGGGAAGGGGAGTTCACAGAGGTACTCTCACGAGCGCGTTTGACCCCATGAGCTGAATGAGGTGGTTTCGTCTGGGAGATGGCTTTTCCCGGAGTCGGTGGTGGTCTCCGTGCATTTTGTTGTAGCAAACCGCGGCATTTATCACACACAACTTGGAAAAATCTATGTCGGATGTTAACAGATTTTCGGAAAACTTCCACGGATAGGCCGATACACGAAATATGAAACAGAACATCACAGCCGAAACAACGAAGTGCATGAGCCATCTGTCCGACAACTTTCGAATATGAGCCACAAGTAGATTGGCACGGCATCACACGCTGGAGCAAATCCAAGATGGCGGACACAGACGGTAATTTGATTTATCAACGAGTTCTCCGAAATAAGTGAGAGTATACTCACCAAATTTTCACAACTTGAAGACTACATCAAAAAGAAACTTTTTGGTATACAATTTACACGGATGAAACACAAATAACACAGTAGTCCAAAAGCGGAAGTAGAATACAGAAGCAACGCTCAAAATCTGTTCAACTCTACACGGCTGTGAAATCTGGTCCATCAAGTTGGCAGACCAGTAAATAAGTTACACTTGATCACAGGTGCCTTCGAAATTTAGATCATATCTAGTGGGAATACCGCGTCACCAAGGAGCGTGTTTGCCGCTGCATCTTTGCAGCAGGGTAATCGGCGATACTGACCCGATACCATCGTGATTAATTGGTCGGATTAAGGGGATTCGCCCCTGAATGCCGATAAATTTCGGCTAGTGGCGATGAGATTGCAGCGCAGAGTTCTTTGAGGTCTCCATTACAGATAACCGATCAGGTGCGCGAGTTAGGCTTCACCACGGTGAGCGGTTTCAAGTCTTCGGTGTAGTGTCGCCGTGAAACAAACAAAACATGACAATAATCGTTTCGCCTCTAGAAGGTGCTGTGTAACACCAAGCCAGAAGTTGTCCTGCCATTGTACGAAGCAGTGGTTAGGTCACATCTGGAGTAGTGCGTTTAGGCTTGGGCGCCGTACTTACGTGGCGACGTTATCCGCATGGAAATGATGCAAAAATTGGCAACTAGTGTGACCGGAGCTGAGCATGGGAAGTCGTATAAAGACCGAGTACGGAACTTGGAAACATTTTATTTGGAGCAGCGTAGATTTAGAGGTGATCTGACGTTTAAGACAATGAAGATCCTCAATGGCATCAAGCCTACCGATCTGTTTGAACTGAATGCTCCGGATCGGCGCAAACATCGTTCGAAGCCTAAACATCAGAGGGCGACTGGGTGTCAGATGAACACTGTTTACAAACCGTGTCGTAAATAGCTGAAATAAATGTTCTGATTTAACCGGCTGCAAAACAGTATTAGCCGTCAAAATGGACTTCGATAAGTTTCGGACGGATCTTTTCCCAGAGCTAATGTAATTTTGGTACATGTGATAACTTTCGTTATAATTGTTAAATGACCCTTGTCACCCCCTTCATGCTGTTATCAAAAGCTCTCTCCTGCTCGTCTGCCCATCCTAAACTTAAATTTTGATTTCCTGCACATCCTACTGTAACTTTTGTGTGGATTAAAAGGAAATTATTCGCACCACGCATAAGTGTTTACTAAAGTGATGTGTATCCATATATTCATCTACGCTTTGGTTGAAATTGCATGTCAATGGTACCACTCATTACATCCGCAGCGCCAGTGTGATATGACGAAAATGTTCCCCGTTGGGTTCACAAAGCCCATTTTGACGTGAGTCAATCAAACGTTGAAGTGAATGGGGCTCTAGCTCGCTTGTTGATACAAGAAGCAGGAAGCTCAGTAGGCGAAAGCCTATATGGTCTTTGGGTGATCTGACAACTTGGTAAGGAAGAATGGCTTCGGTAAGTGTCTCCCTATTTTCTGGTTGAGGTCGAAAAACGTCTGATTAGACTTGTTGACACAACAAGCGCAATTGTGTTGAGTTTCGTTATCACTCAGCTTCCACTTAGTATCCCCTCCAATTGCGATGCAACTAATTGCTAATAACAAAGGCATGACATTATCGTCGTGTTGTTTCGTTTTTCTTTGCATACGAAATGTATGGATAACCTGCAGACCATTTGGTCGTATCGAGAGAAATGGTTATTAGATTGTTTTTGACTTTATTATACCGCATCTGGATTAATGGGATTGGGCTTGTCTTCTCTACCTAACTTATGCCAACATGGAGGTAGAGGGAGTTTTGATGGTCGGAATTAGTTTCGTGGGTTGCAGCACCAGTCGTACCCTGAGAAGTTGCTCGAATTGGGGATGTTCTCGTCAAACCATTGGCATCTCCGTGATTTGGTTTTCACTTATCCCTTCTTAATGGAACTGATCGGCCCAGATCCATTTCGGGTTTTTCATCTCGCCTAGTTAGCAACTCTTCGCAGTTGTCTAATAAAGTTCGAAAGGACGCTTGTAGGTCACATGGTGACAGTATTGGAGCACGCTACTCGAGGAGTCCGTATTCTCTTACGTTAACATGGTTGGAACGCTCAGTCTACAGCTCCGGATGTTCCCTTTCGTTCCTTAGTAGCTTCCTGGTTTACTCGCTGCTAAATTCCTTACGAATTACATCATTGCCTTTCAATGATACTTTGGCCTATAAGTTACTCAGTCTTTTCTTATTGCTTGTGGCCAGTAGAGCAGGGACTGCTAGTGCAAAACGTGTTTTGGTAATTTGACAGGAACTTTTCGCTATAGGAGTGAGTCGTGTAATACTAACCTCTTTTTCCCTTTGTACAAAACGGTGTTTCGGCCGCATTTAGAGTATCGTGCTTAGGCTTAGGCACCACTTTCCGAAAGAATGTCGCATATTTAGAGAAGGTACAAAGACTGGCCACTAGAATGATTGAAGGCCAGCGGGAAAAGTCGTATATTGACCGTCTGGATGCAGGCTAGTTTTCATTGGAACGACGCAGACTAAGGGGAAGCTTGACAGAAATTAAAATTATGAAGGGTCTCAGTGGCATTAAGCCTACCGCTCTTTGGACTAACTAGGTCGGACGAACTGCGGGACACCATTTGAAGCTTATGACGCACGGGTCCCGACTGGATATACGGACGGAATTATTTACTAGCCGTGTAGCAGGTCGTTGGAATTTACTTCTTCCTGCGTTAGTAATGTAATACTATGCTACTACTACTACTATGACACTGATACTATACTACTATGTAATACTATAGAAGCCTTTAAGAGGCCTAGACAAGTTCAAGTTGAAGTGGGAGTGGAAGGACAGGATGAATCCCGTAAGTGTTCCTTCTTGAGCAGGTCGTCGATCCAGGAGTTGATAGGAGTGCTCCGACTTCTTGATGGGTCTAAAAGGAAAACACCTGAAAACACCCTGGTCCACCAATTTAATGTCCACGTTCCTTACATTAGCTGTCCCAGCTGTCAGTTAAGTGAAGTAAGAGAGGGAAAAAAGCCAAGGTAAGAAAGTAGGGGAAATCAGTTAAAAGAAGAGAATAATACCAATGGCGAGCAAAAGTAAACAAAATAGAATCGAAGTATGAAGATGGGAATTAGTCAGGGAAAAGGAAAGGTTTCGTGTTGCCACCCAAGAGCGTCTAGTTGACGCTCAAACCCCTTAACCGTAGATTCCTTGACATGTTCTGGAAGAAGGTTCCAGCGCTCTAACTCGATCGGACCGAGGTTTGTCCAGCTTCATACAATGCCCGCAAAGACCAGATAATCTAGCAGGACTAAATAGCATGGACAAATCAGGGCCAAGCTTCCCAGTCAAAATACGGTAGGTTAGGATTAGGTCCCCTCTAATCCTTCGATTGTGCATTGACTGCATCCCCAAACTAAGTAGGCGTTCGGGGTACGTTTGCCCTCGTAATCCCTTTGACCAACCTAGTACCGACACGCAACATCCTTTCTAGTGCCATTTTGTCGCGGTTAAGGCATGGTGGATAGACCTGGACGCAATATTCTAGGTGGGGTCGTACAAACGCTGAGAAAATCTTCACAAACACACCAGTGGTTAGGGTCCCAAAAGAACGACGGATAAACCACAACATCCGGAACCCTTTACTAGCCGCCTTCTTCCAGTTGTCGCCAGTGTAGTGTGGAGCAGTGGACGACACCTAGATCAACCTGATGAGTCACGTGAGGAATTTCCCTCCCATCGAGCACATAACTTGTGGAGGAAGCAGACGCTCCGATACGCAGGAATGAACACTGCCCGGTTTATGGGCAGCAACCACAAGACATAAGTTGGTCCACTCTGTTTCCGGAGGTGCACGGAGATTAGTACAATATTTCCCGTTAGAACCAATTTTAAATCGTACTGCGATATACATGACAAATGAAAGAAGTCATCAAAGCAAACAACGTCCGATTAATGGTAATAAGAGCGTGAATGCAAGATCGATTAGAGAGAACACATCACATACATTGCAGCTTACCTAAATCTCCTGTTATGAGACTGACGAAAGTAAGGGACATCTGTTCTTTGCCAGCATATGCATCGCATGGCTCAATCGAATTAAGTAAATCATGAACATGCTTGACATGATTCTTTGCTTCCCGAACGGTGTATCGACCTACAAGTCTTGTCAGTTATAAGAAAGCGTAGTACCCTCAATTACGCGAATCTCAGAACCGTCCTTTAGTCCTTCGATCGCTTTCAACTCCGCAAACATATCAAGAGTTTGACCGTTAAGAGCAAGTGAAAAACAGGTGCAGCTGCATGTCTCTTCTCTATCGACTAAAACTCTGTAAATCTCCTGCACCAGCTCAAATGAGCTGACCTGACAAACATCCTTTATGTAACAGTTGTGTCACGAACCTGTAGTTCAAAAGGTTCTGAGTGGGAAGGGACTATCTTCACAGTGAATGGAACATCATCGAGGGTTTCCGGATCATTTTGCTCCGCTATAACTTTAGTACGCAGTTCGGAAGTACTACAAACATCGTGACCGGCATTTGAGGGTCCTACGGCTGCGTCAACCATATCAACGTAAGGGAAGGACGAATTAAAATTGTACACGCCAAATCCGTGCAATAACCCGGTAAAGAGCGATAGCTGTACTGAGACGGTGAATAGCATTGAATCACAGTTAGTTATGAAACTTGTGATAATATTCAGCCAGCCTAAACGTAATGCAATCCATTAACTTCCAATATCACAATATTTAAGTAAAAAAGCTACTGTTCATCAGACCAAGCAAGGTGCCAGAATATGCAAAAATCGCATAAGTATGCAATGGCATCAGCTATGTTTGACTATCATTCCCTTGTTATACTGGAAAATCACCTTAATGCAGTTAGCTTATAAATAGCCAATAATCGAATATCTTTCGCTGCAAATGGTCATGTTGCTTTGCCAGCGAATTGCAAGTTGCATCCAACTACGTCATAATATTGTTCGTGCATACTTTGTATGGTTGTATTTGCTTTTATTAAGCAAAACAAGGATCTTCCATTGTACGTTAATGTACTTTAGTATTGTAACTAAATACCTCATCGTTCACAGCCGTATGGTAGCACGCTGCCAGCACATGCCTGCACGTAGCACAAAAACTGCGCCCACGAGTAATCCACTAAACAACGGCACCAAACCGGTTTGTTGTTTTATTATCATTAACTTTTCGGAAATAGCAATATTAAAAACCATCACTTTATAGACGATTAGCTAAAAACCATAGACACCGTTTGGTCACCATCCTTGAAGCAAGCAGAATTAGAGAAGAAAATACAAGCGTTGGAGATGGTAGGATCATATAAAAACAGATAACGTTATGAACGTAGTAATGCACAGAAGAATAGGAAAAAGGATGACTGGACAATTTTATTATTTACAGAATTTAATGATTCCTTGTTTAGCTTCAAGTTCGGTTAGAACCAGAACGATAGGCGATTCCCGTGCATGTTCCTACTTTTGCTCATCCATGGATCAGCAATCGATAGGTCTGCCTCAGAGGTTAAAAAGCCTAAAACTGAGACACCATTACATCCTATTCAACCAACTACTGCCCGCCTATTCCTGCCCAGCAGTCCACATCAGGTCGGATTTTAGAGTAACAGGATGAAGGGTAAGCTAGGAAAATACGAGGAGAAATTCTAACTAAGAGAAGAAGAAGACTGGTATTGCGAGATGGTACCATTTCGTGTTATCTGTTCACTCGCAAACTAACAACAGATAGATGAATCACGTGACAGAAAATCGAAGATTTAAAACTGGTCACAAGGGAAAAATTACGTAGACACAACAATGACAGATTAGCATCCTGATCTTAGGGTCATGAGCCCCAAGGAAGCTTCAGGGAGACTGTTAATTGTTTTTGCACGCATAGGATAGGGCGATGCCGGTTAAGTGCCACGGCTTCGGCAAACCTCAACACTTTGGGGTTGTCATTACGATAGATAACTGTAAATGTTGACCTGGGGTCAACCTGATGGCCTGATTCCAGTGGGTGTTTGGCGATCAATGAGGCCGGCATCTTAGATACCTTTTCTCGTTCGCCTGCTTCTTGTGTTGACAGTTTGGCAATCCATTTTGGGATATGCTCTCCAATGCCGGCCTCATCGATCGCCAAACACCCACTGGAATCAGGCCATCAGGTTGACCCCAGGTCAACATTTACAGTTATCTATCGTAATGACAACCCCAAAGTGTTGAGGTTTGCCGAAGCCGTGGCACTTAACCGGCATCGCCCTATCCTATGCGTGCAAAAACAATTAACAGTCTCCCTGAAGCTTCCTTGGGGCTCATGACCCTAAGATCAGGATGCTAATCTGTCATTGTTGTGTCTACGTAATTTTTCCCTTGTGACCAGTTTTAAATCTTCGATTTTCTGTCACGTGATTCATCTATCTGTTGTTAGTTTGCGAGTGAACAGATAACACGAAATGGTACCATCTCGCAATACCAGTCTTCTTATTTTCTAGTTTAGAATGATAAAGGGAACTCAATGCTTTAAATTTCTTAAACGAGGAGAACTGTCAGTTAAATAATGATAATACCTAAGCTCGAGACAAAATTAAAAAACGAAGGTTACGTTGGAGATACAATTTGGTTAGGAGAAGAGGAAGGTCTGATACTGCCACCCAAGATCGTCTAACTGCCGCTCGAAACAAACGCTGACTCCCTAAGGACGTGCTCCGGAAGCGAGTTCCAACAATCATTAACCCGGTGCGCCAAGCGTGGTTTGGGCCTTATCCGGTCAGGAGGCAGTTTGTGCAGCTTCAACGTGTGAGCTCGGAGACTAGGCAGCTTAGAGTGTCTAAATATCCAGGACAAGTCTAGATCAACCTTACCCGTCAGGTTGCGGTAAGTGAGACTGAAGCCTCCTCTAATCCTCCGGTATGGCAATGACTACCTACACAAGCTAAGCAAACGTTTGGGATACGTTTGCTCCCGTAATCCTTTCACTTACCTTGTACCCACTCGCCAAACCTTCTTCAGTTCCATTTTGTCCCACCCAATTGCGTCCAGCTCACAATGCCTATGTTCGTAGGCTCACAGACCAAGTTACCTGGAAACGTGTTCTGTCGCTTGATAACCCTACGCAGTGTCGTAGCTTCGGCTTAACTTATCAGTCAATCTATTATGTAAAACCTTCTATAGGGCAACGTGACTTTGATGAATACTTAAACGGAGACAAGGTTGTATGTCAAAACTTCAAATCCGGTCAAAGCACGCTTCTAGTACAATACATGCTTTGGGCTGTGCCCTTTGCTTTGCTCTTTTTTCCCGCAAGTACAAGAAACAAACAATACAGCACAACTGATTTTGGGTACATATTGTTCTCCATTCTGGTGCGGCAGAAAACGAATAACAAGGAGAAATGCTTGTTGAAATTGTAACCATCAGGCGTTTTGGCCTGTAACTTCTTATATAAATAAGTACCGAAATGGTTTCTTCTCCTCAACGCGAAGAATGCCCTTAAAGGCACAATTATCGTGATTCAGACACGTGTGATCGGCAACAGCAAATTATTGCTGTTTAACAAGTAGCCTAGGAATTTATGTTTGTATAGTAGTACGTATAATTAGTTGTATGTTTGTATGTGTAAGTAACCATGTTGAGCACGGAGGTGAAGGTAGCCTTTAAGATATGAGTGTGTGCGCTGGATTCGCCAACAGGAAAGGAGCGAATGAAAACCTCAAATTGGATGGCGTCCCTGGTGTGGGAACGGTCGCCAGAACGGGAAGAGGAAGTGACCATACTTAGTAGCGCGTCACCGCCACTTCACCGTGTTCTTTAACAGACACCTTTGGCTTTTATAGGAAGAAGACTTGCTAGGCGAAAGTGCACCAAATCCTGGAACATTGCCGCCGAACCATTTGCTTGAATGTGCTTAACTTGTACCACCTATCTGGCACCACGATGACTGTCGGCTAGCCAGCTCAAAAGTTTAGATGATTCACAAGCATTGCTTCAGTGAAGGTCCTGGGGGTTTGTGTATAATTAGGGGTGCCCTCTCGCGTACTCTACTGACGCTTCGGGGTCGTCTCCCTTCGCTACAATTATGCCAACAGCATTTATGGACACCTTCCGTTAACTTACCTTTAAAGCAGCTTCCGTCAATAAGTAACCTTATGGGTACGATTCGCTGTTGCTACTTGTTGGGCTGATTCCCGTCCATGTTAGACGCCTTGAAGTAGTAGAAGGTTGCATTCCCATTGATGTATTGTAGTGCTCTCACAAAGTAATTATGGTGAAGCAAGGGTAAGCACGTGAAGATACGCTGCTGCTGTTGTTACACGTTTGTAGTCACTTAACCCTTGTTGGTATCGATTGGGTGTTGGTCGGGCATTTTTAAGCTGACCCATTGGGATGGTGAAAATATAAGCTGACTAAAAGTGCTGTCCTAAGAAAGCTTTTGTGGCAACACGATCAAGCTACTACTGTTTGACGACACGGAATAGTGCAAAGTGCCATCTAAAAGGTAAGATGGCTCCTTATATGGTTCAACGAAGATTCCAATTCGTTTCAGTCGCAGTCATGAACCACGTACTTCACATGCAAATGAGGACATATTAGCATACGCTACCGTGCTCGTAGAATTCCCCGTGCTAAAGAAATATGGTTGCGTCTACAGACACCGCAAATGTCTATCATAAAAGCTCTTGATCGTTAGTTGCCGTACAGTGCAGTGGTACAGCAGGTGGGCGGCGTAATTTACTGCCCGACTTGTCGTGAAGGTGTTAAAGTTGCCAGATTTTCCAAGCTTGTCAGTCACAATTTACATATTCCAGCCTGAGTTTGTATTTCAGCAACGTTATGTTACCACCTGGAGAGCAGTAGATAAGTTGATGCATCATAAATGGTTTGAGGAATACTGGGGCTATAGGGGATTTCGCTTTTAGCAGGTACCTCTGTGTCCCATAAGCTCAGCCGGCAGGAAATTTGTACCGAAGTTATCTATTGCGTAGTATCTGGTTGCAGTCAGAAACGCATTCAAGAGCAATTTTGTTCCGCTTTTACGTTAAATTAACACGCTTTCACTGAAGACTCGATTTCCTCTACCTCGAGCATCCTCCCAGCTTTTACCTTTGGTGGTTTGGTATTGTTTTCTTCCCAAGTTACCCCCGGTTTGCTACTATTTTCTTCAAGAGTTTTATGTCATTGCTTTGTATTTTAGTTGGGAAACCTCATGATTGTGTTTCCACCTACTAACCAAATGGAACTCACAGGTGCTTCTCAAAGCCAGCTCTCCCCTAAGTAAAAAATGGTAGTGAGCTACCGGATAAACCAAACGAATCCATGGCATTTGCTGTACTTGAATGCAAGTTAGCTCACCGAAGAGTGAAACTGTATATATTACCCAGGCTTTAAGGAAAGTCAAGCCATAGTTACCAGACAAATTGCCAATATCTGGTCACGCTACTCGGTCCATGTGCGGCGGGCATTATACCTAGCCCTAGTACACAACCAGCGTCACAGTGTACCTCAACTCAGCCACCCTGATACTTAATTACGTACTGCGCACACTTCTAAAGGCCGTGGTACGTCAGTTAATAGCTTCTAAACCGCTAATCCAAGAAGGATCTCGTTAGCTCCTGTCACGTAACAAAGCAATTGCGCAAACACGAATTCACTGAATTAGTTTTCAGTGCTACCCTTACTACTGCACAGCGGGGTACTCTCGGACTAACT